TGATTAACTCCAACTCAATCTCTTCTCCCTGGAGAGAGAGAGAGAGAGAGAGAGAGAGAGAGAGAGAGAGAGAGAGAGAGAGAGTGTGTGTGTGTGTGCTGGTGATTTCAGCCTCCAGTCATTTCATTGGCACAACTCAGAAGTGGTTGAAACTCAGGGCTCGCTATGAATGACAGGAGATAATCCCAGCACCCAACACTCAAAATATTAGAAGGGTTTTGGAAGCTGTATGCCAGGGGACAAAGACCAAATGTATATTTCATGTTAGGTCACATGATCACATTCTGAATTCATATCCTGGATCTTTAACAGAAATAAGCTTGACACCATAGTATTTGGACCTTATTGGCTTAGAATGAACTTTCAGGGCTAGGGACATGGTTCAAGTAATAGAGTGCTTGCCTAGCAAGCATGAGGCCCTAAGTTCACAGGTTGAACTTACAACTTGTGAGAGACTGTTTGGCTATTCAGGAGGGCTGCTGCCCACATTTTCTTCCAAGTATCCTGAAGGTGGATGGAAGAGGTTGGGGTGTTGCATGCTTTTAGTGAGCATGATCCTTAGGGAAGAGAGAACAGGTCCCATTGGAAGATGTGCAATCCCGTCTACAGAGTCTCTGGACACTTTAGTGTTTGTGCCACTAGTGCAGATCCACAGTTCACAACAAGCAAATAATGGGAAACACTGGAGGCAAATACAACTTATCCAAAGGCTGAAGTCCCTGCTGTGAGAAGCCTGTGCTCTTTAGAGAGAGAAAATGTCCTATTACCCATTGGGTAAAGTCCACTGCAGCTGCCTTCTGACTTAAATGTGTTGTATGTTTTTGATGGAAGTACATTATGTATGTGTATGAAAATAGCACAATGAAACCCACTAAAACTGTAAAAAAAAAACAGAACAGTGGGGGTGGGGGAGAAGGGAAGGAAGGTAATAGAGGAGGTAAATTTGAATAATTATATGCATGTATGGAAATATCACAATGAAACAATTAATAGATGCTAATAAAAAAGTGCTGCAGGGCATGGTGATGCGTGCCTGTAATCTCAGCTACAGCTGTGTGGTAGGAGCACAGGTAGGAGGAGAACAGTCTGATGCTGGATCTGGGCAAAAAACTGGAGAAGCTATCTGAAAAATACCTGAAGCAAAAAAGGGCTGGGGGTATGGCTCAAGAGATATAGAGCATCTTCTTAGCAAGAGCAAAGCCATGCTGAGTTCAAACATCAGAAAAAAACAAAACAAAACAAACTATTAATGCTATATGAAAATTAACAAAAGAGGAGAGGAGGAACAAAATGAGAGTGTTGTCTTGGAGATCATTCACTCAGCACCTTTATAGGATGAGTTGAAAGGCAAGGTGCTGGTCTGAGTGCTGACCATACGACGACACAAAAACAGGGCGGTCACAACTTATGCAAGAGGAAGCCACCTACCAGAATCCTCTGTGGAAGCCAGTACTGAGTCCAAAGGGCATGAGGTTCTGTCTAGCTGAAAACGGGACCCTCCTTTCTCCTCAAATGAGGAGGGGAGTCACTGCACCCTAAAATCTTCGGTTTGGAGGGGAAAGTGCCAGGGACAGAAAGGATCTTCTGTAACACTAGGCTAATTTTTTTTTTTAAGATGGGATGGGCATAGTACAATGTCTCAGGGAGCCTCCCATTTTCAAGATCATCCTTGCGCCCTTAAGTACTGGAGGCCTCTGTCAAGACATTGGCCTATACTTAGCCAGCCTGAGGAGTGACAATCCTCTGAGGCAGTTGTCTTCCCCCTCCTTACTGCTGTATGAGTGTTTGACTTTCAATCTCCACAAAGTCCAAGTGAAGTAGGTGTGGTGGCCCCCATTTAAGGGCACATGGTGGACAAAGGAATACTAAGGAACAGATGGAATGTGTAAGTAAGAGCCAAGCTCACAGACATGTTCTTTCATAAAAATCAAACCATGATCCTAGGAAGAGACAACCAATCAGTAAGGCTCACAAAAAGGGAGACAGCCAATCAACAGTGACCTAACCCAAGGTATAAAACTTTGAACCCTATCTGGGCACCCTATGCTCCTTTGCATAACCACCAGCCAGGTTTTCTCCTTTTAATGGTGCCCTAATAAGTATTTGCTTTCTCTTACTGTCTGTCCCCATAAATTCTTTTACCAACTTGTGGCTCATGAATTGGGTTTCCCTCCTTACTGCTTTATGAGAGCATCACTTTTACTCTCCATAAACTCCAAGTGAGGTAGATAGTACTTGCAATTTTTTTCACATAAGTAACTATGACTCATCTCACTATGACTCAGAGAAGGTAATAGGAAAGGTATCTATCAGTAAGGAAAATGCTTGACTCAAATTCGGAAGCCCTTCTTTTTTGTCCTGTCAACTCTGACCACTCTTGCTGTCATTATTTCTGATTTCACATGTCTTAGTCTATTTCAAATTGTTATAACAAAATACCAGAGGCTGAGAATCTCAAAGTAAAGAGGTTTATTTGGCTCACTATTCAGGTTACTGAAGGGTCCAAACAGCATAGCTCTTGGCAAGAGCTCCCTGGCTGCATCATAGCTTGGTGGAGAATTAAAAGGAAATCAGCTACACGTAGAAGTGGCCAAGTGTGTGGGGTGGCCTGGCTTTACAACCACCCACTCAAGCATTCATTCCCACAGACCAGCATCAATCTTTTCTGAAGGCAGTGCCCCATGACCTAATTACCTTGCATTAATTAGACCTCACCTTTTAAAGGTTCCACCACATTGGAGACCAAGCTTCAGGACCTGAACCTTTGGGGGAACATAATCAAGCCACATCCAAACCATACCACCATTTGTCCTCAGTATGTCCTGAGGAATTTTCCTGTGCCATGGCCAGAACCCATATTTTCTATATAAAACTGTCTGCTTGATTGCCTCCAGCTTGAGTGAGTATCAGGGCAGTCTTCACGGGTTAGAGTGATAACCTGCAACTCCTTTAGTGCTTCCAGCTCAGGGTGACAGGCAGGAGGGATCAGAGGAGAGGAGTGGACATCTCCAGGAGGTCAGGGAAGCCATAGGGCATTTCCTCACCCCTGTCCCTACTGGGCTCAGGCCACCTTCTCACTAGCTTCTAGCATGTCCCTCACCATCCCCCAGCCAACTCTTCAGACAGCAATGCTGGCCTTCATTCTAAATCAGGTTCCCCATATCCCTCAGCAGAACCCTTCCATGGCTCCTGGGATTTCTGGAGATAAAGTCCAAACACTGACTTGGTTCCTTATATCCCATTGGTCTTAGCTTTCAGCACCTCACTCAGCTTCCACCATACTGTATGTCTTGCAGTTTTCTTGAACACGCCTCAAATCTTTCAAGACAGTCCAGTCGTCTGCACTTGTAATCACCTCAGCCTAACCATGATCCCCCACCTCTTCCCACCTGACAGCACCTTTTTTTCTGGCCTCATAATGTCTCTTCTCAGATTTCACTAATTCTTGGTGACCCTTCCCAACCTTCTGAAGATAGTAGGAGGCCCTTCTGACAGGCTCTGCCCCCTGCTCCAGGTTCATAAGATCATAATAATTGTTACAAGGTGTTGCAATGGTTCACCTGTCTTCCCAGCTACCTGGCTGCATGGGGGTCAAGGTCTGTGTCTCATTCCCCTTCTTATTCTCTAGTTTCACTGAAAGCAAGGAGTCAGTAAAGATCCCTGGCATGGGTAAGAGAATGAAGGAAGAACATTCTGGGGCTGTGCCAGCAAATACACTGACTACATTTTGCAAACATCAGCTATATTAAGGGACTTCTGTACCAGGGAGCCTGAAAACAAAATAAGTGTTATTCAGATAATCTGGAAAAATCTAGAGCATACGGCTGGCAAGCTCAGACATGAAGCGTCACTGAATTGAGCAAGTAGCTGCTTCTTTATAACAAGAAGGGAACCAAGGAATTAAAATTGGAAAGACAGCAAAAATCTAAAGAAAAGACTAATTCTCTATGTGGGAAAAGACATGCTGTCTTCTCTTTTGACCACACACTGAGAAATGGCTGAGTAATAGAAAAATGACTTATGTGTTAATTTCAACGTTGAGTAGCCTGCACAGGAGGCAGGGTGCTCACAACTTCTGGTGGGTGAGGTACTTAATTGTTCCATAGTAAGAAAGAGCTGGGTTAATTAGAGGAGCAGGTGGGGAAACTAAGGCTGCCCTATCTCATTGAGGTTGAGCCTGGAAAGGAGGTGTCTGGTGAAGAATTCCCACCCAGCCCTGGGGACAAAGGGTTCAGGAACCCTGAATAATGAGTTTTTATGAACTTTTGTGTCACCATGTGTAGGTGTGTGTGTGCATGCGTGCGTGCGTGCGTAAGACTGCATCCCCTTAAAGTCTTCATGACATTGACTTTGCTCAGTAATGCTGTGTGTACCACAGTGCTGTATACTGGTGGTCAGTGCAGAGCCAGTGCAGAGCTGGTTCACAGGGCATTGGCTCCATACCTACATATTCAGAGAAAGTTGTGAAAGATGCATATCGTTCCCAATGCCTGTGGAAGAAGGCAGGTTGCAGTGGGACTAAGCACTGTGTATCGAGTTCTTTTCTTACTACAACACTGTTGGTTCTTGGAAAACGGCCCTCAGAATTTCAAGAGCTTTGGTCACCTGGCTTTGTTACTGATCACCTTAGTGTTTCCACCATCATTTAGAAATCTTTCCTGATCACCCACTATCTAGTACAAGCTCTGTACTAGACTCTAGGGACAGAGTGGCCAACCAGGCCCTACCAGTCCCTGGATGCAGTGTGGACTCCCAGAAGATCTCCTGTTTCCTGAACCCTGTGGGACGGATGTACAGCTGCACTGTTTTCATTAGGTTCTGAGTCCTGTAATGCTGGCCAGGAGAGGGCTTGCTGCTCGACCAGACGGAGACCATTCTTAACTCTTCTGAATATGCTTATATTTAAATATGTCTCAGATAAAAAAAAAATACAAAGCATGCCCATCGGATCTGAGAGAAGGAGCAAGGCCTTTCTGCAGTGTTGCCCCACTTGGCAGACTTCAGGCAGGGCCTCTGTGCGGCCGCTTCCTCCCTGAGTCTTTCTTTCTGGGTGTCTGGGCCAGCACTTTCACTCTGCCCCCTGGCCCTCCGCCGGGAGCTCTCCTCACAGGGTACACTTGAACCGTGCTTCTCTTGAGGTAGAAGTTAACCTGGATGAGAAAAGGTAGACGTTAGGAGGCCATTTGTACTCTCTCACTAACGGTGCCAGGTCCCAAGGACAGGGGACCCAGACACAGTATTATAGCCATGGCCCAGGGCCACACAGTGGTGTCCTGGAATCCTGGAATTATTTCCCAAAAGAGTGCTACAGAATCACTGGTGACACATAGGGTGTGATTGGATGAACTAAATTTATGATTGTTTCATACATATTAGAGAAAACTACTGTCTACACCTCCAACCACGATTTCACCAACACTGTTTGAACAGATTAGGGCTGTGATGGATAGCATCCTAATCTCCATCTGCTTCAGGCTGGCTGCATGAGTCATAGGTGCCCTGCTCAGGCATGCTGATGGGCAGCTCAGACCTTCAGAGCTAACCCTTCTGCACGTTGCTTGGCAATCATGGTAGTAGAGACGACAGAGATGGAATGGTCTGGAATCTTAGACCCTAAATTTCCACGGGCATCAGTGCATCCTTTCCAGGGCCACAATGGAAGCTCCCTGCTGGCCACAGCACGCAGATAGAAAGATGCTTTTGACTGATGACTGTGCGACGTTCTGGCTGGAAGGTGCTGGGGAGGCCTGGCAGGCAGGGAAAGACAGGGAGTGGCAGTGTCCTCACCACACTCCCCTGGGGCAGCCCTGGCTTCCCCTTTGGAACAGCTGGAGCCTCTGGAGCAGTTGGGAGTTACAAACATGCCACTGACAGAGAGGCCTCTCTGTGGGGTTATTTCCTGCCTCTTCCACAAAAATCCACTGCCAGCTTTTCTGCTAGTTCTCCAAAGAGGGAAGGGGGAGGGGAGAATCAGAGCCAAATGTACCTTATTTAGAAATACAGGAATCTAGGAAAGGAAAAGAAAGCGAGGACAACAAAAGGAGGAAAAGACAGAGGGAAAGGAAAGAAGTCAGTCCTGGACTCTAGAAAATACTTTAAAGTATCTTAATTGTATCATGAAAGCCCTTTAGTAAACAATCTTTTTTTTTTTTTTTCTTTCCCCAGCCAGATGGTTATCTGCTTTTGAATGGGAAGTAGATTCTGTAATCAATAAACAGATTCTTAGTTATTGCTGTATCTGAGAATTGCACCTACATGACAGATTTTTTTTCCCTCTCTGAGTTGTATTTGACATAATGGAGGTTTATGTTAATTTACTTAAAGACTATATGAAAAGAATGTTAAGAGGATGTGTAGTTGTTTGTACTTGGCATTGAACAGACTTGCTTGTAACGAAAGACTTATGTGTGCAGCTGCCTGCTGTTCATTTGATGTTGGGGTATGATAAGAAAAAAGGGTGAGGGTGTATTGGTTGGGAAATCAGGCTCAGCTAACAGGTGGCAATGGAAGAGTTGTTCTTTTCTTCCTGCATCTGCAAGTAAAAGTAATGTATAATGTGCAGGAGATGGGTTGAGGGGTTGGGGGAAGGGAAGGAGGAAATATCTGGAAATACCAGAGGAATTTTCAAAGGACTTAAAGAATAACTCTTTACCCCAATCTTTATATGAAAATAAGAGGTTATGTGCACAGATTGTGGGCAGCATGAGCTCTGAGACACATTAGCTAAGGAGGTAGCCCGGAGAGTCTGTCAGAGGTTCAAATCCCAGCTCCCATCACTTACTGTGTGATACATTTTTTTTTTTTAAAGTATCTTTTCTAAGTTTCGGTTTCCTCAACCATAGAGATGTTTATGCCTACCTTACAGGGTTACTGTGAAAGTTAAATGCAGTGATTCTGAAAAGCTCTCATACAGTCTCTGATACATAGCACCTATTCAATAAACGGCACCTATTATTGATTTAAAGATGAGCTTGATTTCATTGCACTGATAAATATATGCTAGGGTGTGTAGAGAGAGGAGGTTCTAGGAAGGAGTGTCTGAAGGAACCAGGGGCTGAAGATGCTCATTAAATAGGTCTGCCTGGTTATTTTTTCTCATTTGAAAACTCTAAGGATTGGTATCTTTATCTCTGAGCTCTGAGATTCCAATCTAATATAACTTAACATGAAAAGTTCCAGACTGCAAATCAAACAGGTTCATTGCTTCTCAACATTACTTTACATTATAAAGTAATGTTGTAGAGAGTTGAATGTTGAAGGTTGCTGGCTCTTGGCTACAGCAAGAGCAAAGCAAGACTGCCTGGGGTCCAAAGAGCATCAGGGGACTGGCAGAGAGCCTCCTAGTGGTAGTCCTTGCTCATGGACTGAATCTGCTGAAGGCCCCTAGGACTTACAAGTCAAGGTTTGTTGAGGGCTTCCTAAGAGTCAGTGGCTATGCCAAATGCTGGATTTGCACTTTTCTCTTTTCAGCCTCTTGTGAAGGCGGCACTGTTAGCACCGATGTGCAGAGGAAGAAACTGAGTTTGAGCGAGATTAGGCAATCTGCTCAAGGTCTGTGGGCAATGAGTTGGGTTTAAAACCAGATGGTGCTTTCCATCACAGCGCTGTGTTAAACAGAAGAATGAGGAAAAGCCAAAAGGAAGTGGGGAGGGATATAACAGGAGAGTGACAGAAGAAAAATCAAGACAGGAGAGCAATGGATTTTTTCAATGGTGAAAGAGAGAAACTCGGAGACAAGTAAACATAAGTGGCATAAGTGATGCTTACAGGGCTCTGAAAAGCTCAGACAGACTCACCAGCGCTGGTTCTGCAGGACCCACGATCACACTCACTGTCTGTGGGTCGAACCCAGGAGCTGTGGCAGTGACGGCGTAGGTGCCTGGAAGCAGTAGTCGGAAGTAATCACCATGTTCACCTAAAAGGTAAAAGGACATAATTCAGTCACTGACATAAAGCCTACCCCAAATGGAACCTTGATATGGAAAGTGATCTGGAGGTCTTAGCAGAGCACAAGCTTGATTTTTCTTAACTGCATGATGAAACCAATAAAGAGCTAAGTCATTGTTAAAGAGACTCCATAGAAGGAATGACTCTCTGTGCTGTGCACTGAAAGGATTCTGCTCCATCTTACCACAAACTCTTGTTGCATAAAGGGCCACTAGGAGAGTGGAAAGGTTAAGAGACTTGGTAATATTTTGCCTGATAAGGAAATTATTGAGGCTTCTGTTTTGATGTTTGAAAAGCCACTGTGAAGTAACAATGTCTACTAAAGAAATAAGGATGAGAGTGACAGGTTTAAGTTGCAGAGAGGCAGATTTTGCTATACAGAATCAGAAAATATTGTGATAAACACAGCTACCAATAAAAAAAGAGAAAGCGAGCGAGCGAGAGAGAGATGGGTGCTTTACGAAATTGGGAGCACTCAAGCAGAGGCTGAGTCAACAGCCCTGAAAAAGCTACACACTTGAGCAGTGCACAACCTGTACTGACAGCCACAGTGGCCCTGGGTTGGATGACCAGAAGTCAGCAAAATTTGTGTAACTTTCTTTTTTCTTTATTTTTGAAGGTATTGGGATTTGAAACTCAGGACTTCAGATTGCTAGGCAGGCACTCTGCTTGAGCCACTCTGCCAGCGCTCAACTATCTTTAACTCTAAACAACACTAGGTGCTTTGCTAAGTAGCAAAATCAATGTTAGCGAAGGCTTTTTTCACTAGTGAAATGAGTGATTTGCAAATGGGCATGATGGGTGTTGGAAGTGGGCACTTAGTGGTGAAATGAGTGTTATTCACTCTTGGTGGCTAGAATGTTTTAGTGACATTTCTCACTCTTGCTTAAAGGGGCAGGGTGCGGGGTAAGAATCAAGCCCAGCCTGTAAGCTCAGGGATGGTACCTGATGGCTGGTCTCTGCATGGCCCTGGGTCCAGCCATTTGGCTAGCGGATGCTAGTTATATGATGTCTGACTGTGAGGCTACAGATTTCTACATTTAGAATATTGTCTTTGCCTTGAATGAACCTTTTACTGAAGATGTGCTGTAATCACTTTAAAGAGCACAAAGCAAAGATTTCATCCAGCTAAAACAGACTGTATGAACTGTAAGGCACCTACGTGGTAACAAATGTTTGTGTGGTCAGACATGGCTGAACCTTGCTGGTATTGAGTTGGTTGTAGGGAGGTAGGCAAATCTCACCTACCCCTAACCATTGGTAACTACTGCTACTCATCAAAAACAAACAAACAAAACCCCCTAAGATCTAATTGCATGATCAAATCCAGCTGGGGCTCAGTATGCAACACCATTTTTCTATGAGCCAATTCTATACCCTTCTAAGAGAGAAGGGTATAGAACCCTCTAAGAGGTTCCAGCTAGCTCCAAGATCAGCCTCCACCATCAACCTGTGCTGCAGCAAACCTGTAGGATGAGCCTTGCTCAGTTGCCCCTAACGAACATGTAGCAAAATGCCTGACTCAGGAAGGAGACTAAACATTAGATTAGAGTCCTCTATTCCATCCCAATTCATACCAGCATGGGGTAAAGCCTCAAGCCTAGAAATACTCCTGGCAAAGTGGTATGTGACTGTGACCTTGAACTTTGATGAGAGAAGTTGTATTTATGTCCATCCTCCCTGGTCTTCACCTCTCAGGAATTGTCTACTTCAGAAACAAAACATTTTCCATTTAAACACCTTGGTTGTTTGACTGTCTGCATTTCCCGTACCCTTTCATCCTTCACCCCAACCCCCACCCCCAGTGTCCTTGATGCCCCCAATTTTCCTGGAGAAGATGAGGAATGAAAACTCCCTTTCCACCCCTGAGCAGTGGCCACCTACCTGAAGTGACATCATGATTAATGCCACTAACAGAAATGACAGCCCCTGTGAGATTATTATAATTCTCATCAAGCACCATTCCTTTGATGCCCTGGTGAACCTGCCAGAAAAGTGTTGGACAGTTTAGAGTTAGGATTATAAAAAAAATCTTTGTGCAGTGTTTCAGAGGCTCAAGGCCCTAATTCATATGTTTTCACATTCCATCTTCACAACTAAGATAGTTAATAGTCCCTAAACTAGTCTCTTTATTAGCCCCACCCCAGTAATCTCTTCTCAACAGAACAGAGTGACCCTGTTAAAGCCTCAGTCACGTCATGCTAGTGTTCTACTCAAAACCCAGCTCAGAGCAAAGCTGAGAGCTCCTGTGGTGGTCTACAAAGCTGAGGTCCCTGTTAGCAACCTGGCCTTACGTCTGAGATCCACTGAGGTTCCAGCCACACTGGTGTGCTAGCCTTGAATTTTTGTCAATTTAAAATGTGATAAAAATACACATAAAATGTGTACCATCTTAACCACCTTAAAAACAACTTAATGTGTTTTTAAGAGTACAGTTCAGTGTGACTGAATACATCTGTGACCTATCTGTCTCTACAACTCCTCTCATCTGATGGAACTGAAACTCCCTTCTCCTTAAACGATAATTCTCCTCCCTCCCCATGCCACCCCACTCCACCTCTGCTCTCCCCAGCTCCTACCTACCATCTACATTTTGTTTGCATGAGTTTGATTACTCTGAGCACCTCACACAGTATTTACCTTTTTTGTGACTTTCTAAATGTTTCACTTAGCAGAATGTCCTCAAGTTTCATCCATGTTGATGCATGTATCCAAACTTGCTTTTGAAGACTGAATAATATTCTATAGCATGTATATGTCACATTTTGTTTGTACATTCATCCATCAGTGGATGCTTGGGTTGCTTCTACTTTTTAAGGAGAGGGGGTTGGGATTGTAATTTGAACTCAGGGCTTCGAGCTTGCAAAGCAGGTCCCCTACCACTGGAGCCACACCTCCAGTCCATTTTGCTCTGTTTATTTTGAAGATGGGATCTCGAGAACTGGCCTGGAACTGTGATCCTCCCCATCTTGGCCTCCTAAGTAGCTAGGACATATAGGAATGAGCCACCAGTGCCTGACTCTGTTTTTTGAATACTGTGAAAAAATGCTACTGTGAACATAGGTGCAAATATCTCTTTGAGACCCTGCTTACATTCTTTTGGGTATATGCTCAGAAATGGATTTGCTGGGTCATATGGTAATTCAATTAAAATTTTTTTTTCTCTTGCAGTGCTGGGGATCCAGCTTAGGGCCTTGCATATGCTAGAAAGGTGCTCAACCACTGAGCTCTCCTGCAGCCGTTTTTAATGTTTGGAAGAACCGTCATATTGTTTTCAACAGCAACTTCACTGTTTTCCATTCCCACCAACAGTGCTCAAGGCTCCCAACCTCTCCACATCCCTGCTAATACTTGTTATTTTCTGCTTTTTAAATAGCAACCATTCTAACGGGTGTGAAATGGCATCTCATTGTGATATTGATTTGCACTTCCCTAATGATTGGTGATGTTGACATTTTTTTGGTGGTACTGGGGGTTAATCTCAGGGTCTCACACTTACTAGCAGGTGCCCTGTTGCTTGAGCTATGCCCCACTCAAATGGTTTTTCATATGCTTATTATTGGCCTTGGCTTTGTATTTGTCCTGTGTCCATTTTGGGAGGTTAGATATCTGCATGATTCTGTCCCTCAACTCCTTGAAATCTTTGTCTAAAAGACACCTTCTCTGTAAGGTTTTCTTCATAGCATTTCTCCTTTAACATGATATAAATTTTACTCTTATTTTATTGCCTGTTTGTCTGTCTTCAGTAGAACATCTAGTTTATATGGACAGGGGTATGTGTTTGTTTGTTTACGCATAATTCCCAGCTTACAGGAAAGTTTCTGGAAGATAGTTGTGCTCAATTATGTAGAGTGAATAAATCTCACTGGTAGAAACAGCCCACATTTATTGGATTGAGTCAGAGAAGGCCAGACCTGCCTGAGTCACCAAAAAGCACTGGTCTGCCATTGGAAAACACTTTTTCTTTTGTAACCACAAAAGTTGTAGAGTGAGATTTTACCTGTTCCATGAATTGGATTAGGGCTTCCCGATTACCCAGCCACTCCCGTTGTAATTCCTCTTGCCGGGGAAACTTGTCACAACTCAGTTCCAGAGTGATCTCAAAGCAGTTGGTGTGCAGATAATTAAAGTCTTGCATTCCTAAGGGAAAGAAGGTGTGGTAATTTGTACAACCAGGTTCCCACCCAACGCCCCATCTCATCTCTCTTCAGTCACATTTCTCTACCACCACCCTCACTACTTTCTACTCTACCTTGACCTCCATTTATTTTTCTCTTTCATAAAGTCTCTTCCCAAATTCCCAGTTCACATGCCTTTCTCTCTTTCCATTTTCTCTCTTCCTTAATGCCCACTTTATCACCCACATCCTCTATACTGCTTCCATTTCACGATTTAATTTCATGTCTTACCCTTCTATTCCCGAAGTCTGCTTATTAGCTGTAATGTTTTCAATTGAAGGGATTATCTATTGCTTTCCTAATAATACAAAGTAAAGAAATTAGAGTCTAACAAAATCTTTGTGTCTTGTGTTCAAGTGAGTTTGGAGCCACAACAAGTCTACCTTCTCAGTACATACCACTCCCTACCTTGTTCCTCACCACTCCCCACAGGAATAACCATCAGCTTGGTCCTCACTAGTGCTGTGGTCAGCTCAGATTTGAGAGCATGGGGAAAGACAGATGTTAAAAGATGAATCTGGAAGATCTTTCTTTCTGCTTCAGCCTCTTTCCAACCTGAAGGTTCTCTGTTAATAGTTCATAATTAGAGGTTCATCTCAACCCTCACTCCTGGGCAAGGCCCAGAACATAGAGAAAGAAGCCCTTTGCTAGAGCTTTCTGATCCTTGAGGTTTTGTTATCAATGGTCAATGCCCATGGCAAACTTGTGCTTTTGGGAGGTGAGCAGTCAGGGTGTAGAGAGCAGGGCTCAGGGGCTCTGATGCTATCCAGGCTGCCCCTCTGATCATCTGTTGCTGTACAGTGAAGCAAACCTCTGTGTTACTTTTCAAGACCTAACATTTGTAAGTCAGGAGTTATGCGTGTTATTTTACTTAAGCATTGACATCATGGCCAAGTATTATTAGGCTTAATGACAGATGGGGAAACCAAAGTACAGAGAGGTTAAGTAATCAGCCCAGAGCCACACAACTGGTAAACCGGCAAGCTGGGTTCTAAACCAATTGAATTTCACAGTCCTCACCCTTTCTCACTTGGCCCCATTATTTTCTTCCTCTGCCCTGATCTGTTTTGTAAAACACAAGTTTTACAGGACTACAAATTGGCCCTTCCTTCATTTTAAAGAATGACAAGATGATACTAAATGTCAGCCCGAGACTTCTCCATTGTTCAGATTTTACTGAAGTGCTGAATTCTATAATATTCTCATCATTTCCCTGAGAAAGCTGGCCATGCAGTAGAAAAACAGGCACCATGCTACTTCCACGTGAGCAGTCCCCAGGATTCTCCTTACCCTTGCTCAGAGAATACCAGGAAGCCCCATTGGTGATGCCGTCTGGGAAGTAATCCCCGCAGTTCCAGCCTTGGAACATCCATCCGTGAGCATAGGAGTAGACCTTGGCCAGCTAGAGGAGACACAGGTAGAAAATGACCTCTAGAATTCCCAACGTCATGGCAATGCTCAGACCCCAAACTCGGATGAAGCCAAGAACAGCTACACAATTGGTTATGGGTAGAGAAATGAGTGTGTGTGAGTGTGTGTGGGTCTGTGTGGGTAAGAGTGTGACACAGACTAGAGAGTTAGGACGTCTGTATTCTGATTTTTCTCCTCTCTCAGGGCTAAGTTTCTTCATGTGCAAGGGGAAAAGTGACACTAGATGACAATGAAGATCCCTTTCAGTTGAGTCATTTTCTAACTGAATTTTATAAAAAAAACTAGCGAGCAGGGAAAGTACTATATTTTGTCAGGTGACAGATGTGCTGGATGAAGAGGTACATTTCAGACTCTAATTTAATTCTCCTTTGCTACTTTTTTATAACAGTGGCTAAAATGAAATTACTGGAAAAAATACAGTTTTTATTCTCCACACAACTGATGGATTATAATTATTATTGACTATTTGTAGTATATACATTGATAATTAGATACCTTACTATATTAATATATAACTATATATCATTTTATAGTTCAGTTAATATGCTTTATTACAAAATAATTATTATCACAAAATATTTATATATTATGAATATATAAATTAGCATATAATAACTTTATTCTGTTGTTTTAGATTACTATTTAAACTCTTTTATGTGCATGTCTATTTTTTATTAACATAGACATATTATCACAAAATTATCAAGTAGAATCTCTGAAATTCACATTTATTCTATTAACTTAAAACCAGTACAATTAGTCTTTTTGAATATTTCTTGTTTGCCATTAGCTATTTTTTTTTACATCATGGCAATTATAATATAAAAGCTTTCCTTTTTATTTAAGTTTTCATGAATTTGTGGCTTATCACCCAAAGCAAAATGTAGTTTATTAGACCGTACACCCCTCAAGCAGGTGTTTTTTTTTCCTATTGTCTTTTGTGGAATTGTTGCTAAGGGCGTCCTGTGTCACTGGCTTGAAGCTCATCCCCTGAGCCCACGTTCCCCTGGCTAGATGAGCTGTCACTCTACATACCTTCTGGAAAAGCATATCATCAGGCGTCGGGGAATTAGAAGAGCGGTGGGGATTTCGGAACCGATGCTCAAGGGACTTGTCATATGGATAATTGGCCACCACTGCCCCTCCGTGGAGGTTGGCTGAGAGAACAAAGTTCAAGGAGCGCATCCACTGGATCACGGCCCGGGTCTCAGGTTCCACCTGTGAGGAAAGGAGAGGTTGGCAGGGAAGGCTGCCACATGGCAGCTGGAATCATCCTGTCATCAAGTGGCCTGAAGGGACAGTACATCTGAATAAAACAGTACTTCCCAGTGTAGCTTTGGAATGGTGGTTTCAAAGTGTGTGGAACTCTTTTTCAAATGAAATATTCTGTGGCATTGCAATTTACAGAATAGGTACAAAGAGGTTCAGGGCAAGTGAAACTTGTGAATGATATGACAGTAATGGATACATATCATCATACAGTCGCCCAAACCCAAGCACTAATGTGAACTAGGGACTTTGAGTGCTAGAGTTGAGTCACTATAGGCTCACCAGCTGTAACGAATGTATTATGTGTCATTCTGGTGGTGGGTGATGTTGATGGAGGGGTAGGTGATGGGGGAACAGGAACTTTATGGAAACTCCCTGTACTTTTCACTTAAGTTTGGAGAAAACGAGTACTGGGAGTTGAACCCAGGGCCTCGCCTAGCAAGCACTCTGCCACTTGAGCCACCTACCTAGCCCTTTTGTTTTTATTTTATTTTTTTGTTTTGTTTTTGAAATAAGGTATCACTAACTTTGCTCGGGCTGGCTTTGAACTTAAAATCTTTACCTCTCAAGTAGCTGAGACTATAAGCATGAATCACCATGCCCAGTTTATAGTAATGGCTTTCAACTTGTTCCTCCTCCCAATACACCTGCTGTTAATACTGACATGAGAAACACACACACTCCTGTGGTCATATCTAAATTTCAGAGATTAGACATAGAGTCATCCAGGCTTGTCTTTTTCAAGTAGTGACAAAGAAAGTCCACCCTTTCTATTGCATATTATATTACTAATGAGTCAGAATATTCTTTAAAAAAGCCTTGAATCTACTTGGACTTGTAGTCTAAATAAGTAAATTTAAGTCTTCGGTGTTCTTCTTCCTCTCAGAATGAACACACTGAGTTAACGAATTAATGGCTCCTCCTGGGCCAAGGATCAGTTTTGAAGGCTCCATTTTTCCATCCTAAAGAGGACTGGATAAACAGGGGTGGGTCCCACACAACCAGAAGAGATACAGGATCATGTGTCACTTAACAATGGAGATACGGAGAAATGTGCTGTTAGATGATTTTGTCACCATGTAAGATTACAGCACGTACTTACAGAACTAAGGTGGCTATGGCATCATGAAGGAATGTAATCTTATGGGATCTGTTGTATAGGTGGTCCACAATTGATCAAAACATGATTTTTCCGCACATGGCCAAAATACCAAGGGTTTTGGTCTGTGACCAGGGCTCAGGGTCTTTGAAGTGGTCCTTTTTTCATGCCCTAAGCCTCCTAAAGAGCAAGCCCAGAATCTTTCCCTGAAGGCTGTTCTAGCAGGAGCAGGAGAGACTTCTTCTCTTTTTTTTTCTTCTAAGGTTTTAGACAGGGGATTGAATAGGAACCAATTTTACAGACTCCATTGCTTTGTTTTATTTAGAAAAACACATTTAATAAATCAGAACATTCTTCTGACTAGACATGCTGACTAGTACAAGTTATTTTTGAATTATTATTTACTTGAGCTAGGAGGAAAGTTGTTATCAGAAATACAACATGTCATTTTCAAGAGGAAAAAAACCTGAGAATATGCCACCAAGGAAATTCCTAATGTAAAAGCTTACGTTGCTTTATTTTTCTCTGTCCAGTCTCTAAGTTTTGATTTTCACAAATAGAATGTTTAGACCAGGTGTTGTGACAGCGATGCTCCCAAAATGACAGTAGTTATTCCCAGGAACAAGCCTACCAACTCCAGAGATTCCACCAGAATGGAAATATTCACATTACCCAGGGGTTGCCACATTACGAGGGGGAGCACGATGAAGTGTCAAATGTCATATAGAAAGGAGAGAGGAAAAACAATGAGTTGGACTTCATGAACCTCTTTCTATAGCTAATTACTGATGAACATACAGCTCATCACAAGTAAGAGAAACCTCTGCAGAATGTTGGTGTCCATCTGTCAACCATCTGGTGTTGGTAAAGAGAATGTTGGATTAAGAGTTGGAAGACCTGGGTTTTAATCCTGATTCCTAAATTACTAGTGATGTGAATTTAAATTATAAGTGTATCTATAAAACAGGGATGGGTAACATTGCTTGATGCATTCTGCACAGTATTATGATAACCAACTGAAATACGGACTATGAAAGGCCTTTGTGAAATTGTCATCCATGCAATTTTACCATCCTCACTAGCATCAAACATTTAGTGAGCATGCGCCTCACTACACTGGGGAAGGGAGTAAATACAAAGGAGCCTAACAAATTTATTACTGCCCTGGAAAATTAACACAGAGGTGAGCTGATGCTTGATTTTCTTTTTTTAGTTTTGCATACTGGGGGTTGAAACCAGGGTTTCTTGTTTGTTAAGCAGGTGCTCTACCACCTGAACCACATTGCCCGCCCTTTTTGCTTTGGTTATTTTTGAGATAGGGTCTAGCTTTACACCACAAGCCTGAACCATGATCTTCCTATTTGTGCTCCCTGTGTGGCTGGGATGATAGGTACGTGCCATCATGCACAGTCATTGGTTGAGATGGGGTCTTGTGGACTTTTTGCCTCAGCTGGCCTCTAACCACTATCCTCCCGACCTTCACCAGCTCCTTGGGGTGAGCCACCACACCTGGCTGTGATGCTTAATTTTTGGTTTTTTGTTTTTATATGAAGACTGTTTGTAGTAATCTGTAAGAAATTTCAGGTGCTGATTACCTGCTTCTGTGGCCAAATTTCATCTCCTACCTGGTTTTTCCAGTTGTCTGGAAGGGGCAAGTGGTGGTTGGGGCCTCCATACTTCTCATTGTAGTAGAAATAGGTATTGAGATCAGGGAAGTTGCGGTTCAGGTCCACTCCATTCGCATTGTTCCTACCAACCAGATACCCAGGCATGTTTGGGCCCTAGGGAAACAATGAGGAAAGGAACGGTGAAGGTTTCCGACTGGATTCCCTATGGTACACTCTTGGTGTCAGCAGGTCTATGATTCCAAGGAGACACCACGCACACTCAGGATGCATAGAGTTCAGTGCTGCACTGTGGATGCTAGACTCATTCTCCCCATAGTGCCACCCAACTTCTGCTAAAGACATGGCACTTTTCAACAGCAATTTTCACTTTATCACTTAAACACATTTACTTTAACCTTTTGGGGCACCATTTGCTTTTTAGGAGGCAGATTTTCACAAAACTAAGGGCAGGGAAACACTCAGCAGATCACATGATGACTTAAACACAAATGCTAGCAATGTGGGGCTGACAGCTTCTCTACATCAATTGAACTATGTGCGAGTGGGAATTGTATTTTTTTGTTTTTGAAATTTCTTTTTATTTATTTGGTTTTTTGGCTGTGCTTGGTCAAACGGTATGTAATAAAAATAAGGTTGGCTTACCTTATTTGAAGAACATCATATAGGTTTTTTTTAGGGATTATCTTAATCTAGCAAATTATACAGCATTTTCTTCTTTATCCAAAGTCCCAAGGGTATGGTTCAAGTTTCCCTGTGGACCTTGAGATTTGAGGGGATTCTCGGAGAAGCTCTAATAAGAGTGGGGTGTTAGGGCTAGTGGAATGGCTCAAGTGGTAGAATGCCTGCCTACCAAGCATGAGCACTGAGTTCAAGTTCCAATACAACAAAATAAAAAAGAATGGGGTGTCTCAGTATCATGGGAACCCTAGATTTTTATTTTTTTCTTTCTTTTATTATCATTTTTACATTTACTTACATGTGTATACATTGTTAGTGCCACACTAACCCAGCATAATCTCATCTTAATGACATCTGCAAAGGCTGTTTCCAAATAAGACACATTCATAGGCTCCAGGTAAACACAAATTTGGGGGGGTGGATACTATTTAACCCAGTACCTGGACACTGAGTTGTGACCACTTTTGGCAAACATGAATAACAATGCTGAGAACATTCACAAATGAACCACTGTGTGGATGTATATTTCCATTTCCTCTGGGAAATGCATATGAGTAGAAGTGCTGTCATAAGGTAAGTCTTTGTTTAATTTTTTGAGAAATTGTTGAATTCTTTTCCAAATTGGTGGCACCATGGAAACCTACCCTCTTCCTCATTTAAAAATTTGGGGTCCTTACTTATCTCAGGAGTAGTATTTAGCTCTTTGGATCCCTTAATTTCTCTGCTTATACGTCAAACTTTATTTCTCATGTGTTCATTCACTCATTCAGTCATCCATCTAGTCAATCACATTACTTAAGTCTTTATTCAAAGCTCTCTGATAGACACTGGGGGAAAAGCTAAATGATGAATTACTCTAGCCTTCAAGGAATTCACAGTATATAGGGGGTGATAGATATAGACATAGGTAATTAAATACACAAAGTGGTAGGATAGAGATAGGTTAAGAGAGCTCTTCAAAATCGAACTTCCATTTAATGTTTTGTGTGGCATTAGAGAAGGGGATGATGTAGCCACTGCAACTTTGTGAAATGAGAGGCAGAGCCCAAATTGCTGGCTGTTCCTGGAAGTGGAGTGAAAGGATCCCTGCTGGGCAGCCAAAAATTCACAATGTACTAACACTCAAATTTTCTCTAAGAACTCTTTATCATTCTTAGATTTTTCCTTTGTCCATGACATCCCACTTATATTTTATTCTTAGATGGCACTGAAAACATAACATTTCTGGAAGTTCTCTTAAGTTGCCAACATAAATTCTGTTCTGGTGGAAATATTTATCTGGTTTTCCAGTTTTGTGTACACATCTATGACATAATGATTTTCTTTATGCTCCCAGGAGTTTTCCACTGCCCGCTTGTTCTTATCAATGGAGCACTGAACTGCCAGTATGAACAGCTATAGGCTTTCCTAGTTGATTTGCCACACACACCGGTCATTCGTTAGGCTGGCAAGAAAGGGCTTTCCAGACCAGGGATGCACCTTAGTGGTAGAGTACTTGCCTAGCATGGGAGGCCCTGGCTTCCACCGCAGTGAAGAAGAGAAAGGAGGAGGAGGAAGAGTGGAAGAAGGAAAGAAAAGGCTTCCTCTATCAGAAAGTTCCCTAAAGGAGATAATGTAATAGATTCCTTTTACTGTTGCAACAAAATTACCACAAACAGTGGCTTAAAACAGCAGGAGTTTATTATCTTACAGTTTTGGAAGTCTAAAAACTGAACTGGTCTCACGGGACTGAAAGCAAGGTGTCAGCAGGGCTACGCTCTTCCCAAGGCTCTAGGGGAATCTGTGTCCTGAATTTTCCAACTTCCAGAGGCCACTCACATTCCTGTGTCTGTCTCTTCTGTCTTCAGAACTAGCAGCATAACATCTTCAAATCTCTCTGATTTCTCTGACCTTCGCCCTCCCTCTTCCACACAGGAAGACCCTTGCAGTTGATACACTGGGCCCTCTCAAGTAATCCAGGATACTTTAGGTCAAATGATTAGCAACCCTAGTTTCACCTTCAACCTTAATTTCCCCTTGCCAAGAACATAACGTATTCATAGGTTCCTGGAATTAGGATGTGGACACCTTTGCCAGACCATTATTTGCCTGTCTGCTGGAGGCGTTAAAGTCTGGTGGCCAGGTGAATCTCCCTGTATAGCCAGCAGACAACTTTCCTCAGTGCAGTCTGAGAACCTGATGGGTTCTCTTTTGGGTTCAGGTTCAAAATCCACTCCTTCTGAACACAGCAGGTGAGCAGAAACAGGCTTCTCAGAGATCGCTCTGGGATTTGGTGGGCTAGCAAGGGATTTCCTCCCCCTCTTCCTCCCCGTCTATTGCAAAGGATATGGGTAGGACTGAGTTGGTTCTCCAGCTTCCTCACTTCATACAGAGAAAGCAAAGGACGGATAGTAGCCAAACTAGCTATTCTCCAGCTCTTCAGAACCTCAAGTTTGCAGGCATGATAGTGGGCACCTCTGTGATTTCCAGTGGGAGACAAAAAATTTCCTTTTTGTATTTATTAGACATTTCAGCAGAAAATTGTGAGACTACAAGAGCCACGTATGTGCAGGGTTCAACATCCTGGCTCCATTCCTCTATCTGCCTCCCCTCACTCATTAGTCATACTCTTACATAGTTTGAAAATATGCTTTAACTTAACATCCTCCCCCCCAAATTTTTAAACACAGCTCTTAATGGAATGTACTAATTACATAAGGCAGATAGATGCCTGGCCTCAGCCTTGACATTTCTAATTCAGTAGGTCTGGGGTGGGGGGCCTGGGAATCTACTATTTCAGAAATCTTCACCTGTGAGTCTGATGTACAGTCATAAAGAACTGGCGATTTAAAGTAAGATACCTGGAAACTTTAAATTTATGTTATGAAATAGAATAAAAAGCCTGTAGACATTTTTTCTTATCTGTCTCACTGCAAATATAGCTCCCAAATAAAGAACTGCAATGTGGAGTACCATTCTAGTAGACTCTTGTGGCTAATACATTAGGTCCACTCAAGTAACCTAGAATATTTTAAGTCAAATTGAAGTTGGATACATCAGGGAAAATAAGACATGGAAAACAGTAGCCAGGAATTCAGAGATAAACTCTGTTGTTAAGGGCTTGATTAAAAGCACACAGGTACTATTTTCTTTGCTTAAAGCCTTATATCCTCTCAACAAACTGCAACATTTAGTAAAAAGAAAAGAAAGGGGGGGGGTGGAAATAACAGTTCTTTCCCCTTGACTTTGCACATTTGCTCAAATAATTAGTGTAGTCTAGGAACTAGAGAAGAATATTTTAAAGAATGACACTTACTCTGGGAAAGAGCACCTGGGAAAATGGCTACTCTGGCACAAGAAGTACTTACAAAGGTGACATTTATCTTAAAGGAAGCATCCCTTAAAGTCTCTGGACCCAACTGATAAAACAGGGTAACACAAGAATGATTAATTGTATCAGGTGTCAAAACAAAAGAACAGCCCTTTTCCTAAGGTAAATTCAAGCCAAACCTCCAACCCACTTTTTCACCATAAATATCCCTGATGCTAGAGCACTCGTTGCACCTGCTATCAGATGGGCTTGCACCCATGTCAGGGCTGTATACTATGTTTCTTTCTTTGCTTTGCTTTACTTATAAACTCTCCTGGTCTCTACCTCAATGTGCTCTAAAGTTCTTTCTTTGTGACAACATCATGATCTCAGTACCCAAGGGTTTGGAGACCTCGTTCCTGGAGTGTCACTGGTTCCAGTAACAAAATTATTAGCAAACTTCGTTCCGTCTGCAACCTTAATTTCCCCTTGCTAAGTAACAGAACATATCCATAGGTTCTGGGAATTAGGAGGTGCACACCTTTGGGGGACAATAATTCTGCCCACCACAGGTGGCTTTAAAGTCTGATGGCCAGGAGTGCCTCCCTTTATAGCCAGCAGACAACTTTCCTCTGGGTCCCAAATCTGGGGAAGGCTTGCTCTCCTTGATCTCTTCCCCCACGAACACAAATGGATGTGGAGTGTGTGAGAGAGAAGGGTACTTAGGGTTCGAAGCACTATCATGGCTACTCCCTTACTGATCCTCACAAAACCTTGAAGTCAGCTTGAGTGGTGTGGAGGAAACCCAGGCAGCTGGTCTGAGGTGCTGCAGGACAGAACCAACACCTTCACCCTTCATTACAGTCATTATACTTCTGGTTTTTTGCTTGCCTCTCAGCTGTTTTATCCTTTATTTTTGAGTGATAGTTACAGTGGGACAGGGGACATAGTGTCTACTAGCATTTATTTCATAAGGTGCCTTTAGTCTCTCCAAGGCATCTCCCCTGGTCCCATACCTGGGCGGCAGCCACCTCGTAGCCGTCGGGGTTCATGGACGGCAGGATGTGGATGCGGGTGTCCTGGATGAGTGACAGGATGCGCTGGTTCCGGATGCGGTACTCCTCGCACAGGAACTCGGACAGCTGCAGCAGCAGCTCGCGGCCCAGCACCTCATTACCGTGCATGTTCCCCACGTACTTGAATTCTGGTTCCACTGTGAGCGGAGACACACATGCAGGGAAAGCAAAGATGGGGAAGGTCTGGAAGTGCCACGCCACCTGACTTTGCAAAGGGGTCTTTTCCTTCCTTTTCAGTAAGGGAATAAAGGAAAATCTCAGGCTCTCATTGTGTCTTTTCCAGTAATTGCTGAGCCCTTCCTAACCAATTGTAATTTTAAAAGCTATGAAAATTCATGCCAGGAAAAAAAAAATTCATGCCAGGGAAGATATTGACTATCATTTTTTAAGTCCCTGTGGTGTGCTAGGCATTGTCATCGCACTGAAGCCGGTGCTATTAATTAGCCTCAGAGTGAAGGAATTAGAGATGGAAGAGGTGAAGTAGCTCGGCTGATGCGCCAAGTGAACGCATATATTAGAGGTTCACAGTCGCTTTTGCGGTAGCGCTCTGCTTCCCAGAGACAAGTCTTTTAAGATAAGGATCGCGCTCTCCCAGAGTGCTCTGGGTTTTAGCCTAACAATTGCTAATCATTCCAGTTGAAAACTTAGTTTTTCTGGCATTTAGGACACTAGAATCTGTCTTTCATCTCTGAGAAGGCATGTCTTGAGGTAGAGATAGGAGTCTACTTATGTCACAAGCCTTAGATTTCTCTTTGGCCAACTTAACTGTTTAACTGAAGTCAAAACTGAAGTTCTGAAAGAGCCTTTAGAGTCACATCAAGAATATCATCTTGCTCCCTTTTGAAAGGAAGGTGAAAAATTCTTGCCAAGTGACTTCTTTTCCATTCAACACTTTTCTACCTCTGTGACTTTTTTGATTCTGTATCTCTTCATCTCCTTATTTCCAGATCCTTCTCACCATCCTCAAAGGCCCAGCTCAAGTGATTACCACTGTGGCACCAACTTGAGCTTCTCTCGCTGACACTGAGCTCTCTGTTGACTTCCCTTTTGTGGAACTTACCACTTTTTACTCTGGGCTCCACCTATATTTGCACGTCTTATTTCCTTTATTCAGCCTAGCTTAACAACACATTTAACTTTAGTTTTCTTTAGGAAACAACCCATTATTATCTTAGTATTCCTACGGCAGTTCTTTCCACAGGAATGCTTGTAACCCACAAGGATCATGTGGATTTTATATAATGTGTATTCTTTAATCTTAAAATGTTTCTTTAACTTTAGATTATATCTTTCTTTTTTTTTTGTTTATTCATATGTACATACAATGTTTGGGTCATTTCTCCTCCCTATATCTTTCTTTTCTTGGTGTTAAAAAGGCATTGTAGGAAAGGTAGTTGATAGCAAATGGCAAGTAGTTTTCTTCATATCTTATTCAGTAAATTAAAATTTGGGAAAATCTATTTTGGTCTCCTCCAATCTCTCTCAGTTATTAAAAAAAAATTTTAACTTCTCTGTGATATCCAAGTCTGGGTACCACTGGCTGATGGAACCCAGCACAGTGCTGTATACTTAGGAAGGGCTCACAATCAAATCTCTTGGCTCTGTTTTCAATATAGTCAGAATACAAACACTTCTCATAACAACCACTGCTGTCATTTTGGTTCAGGCTCCCACACCCTCGTACCTTGATCATGATATTAAATCCCCCACTCCACCTCCCTGCTTCCATCCAGCCCCATTAAACTCTATTCCTCTTAACCAAGGGTTGACACAATTTTTCTATAAAGGGAAAGAGACTAGGTACTTCAGGCTTTGTGGGAAATATTGTCTCTGTTACAGTTACTCAATTCTTCCAGCGGAAATAGCCACAGATGATACAAAAACAAATGGACTTGACTGTGTTCCAATAAAACTTCAGTCACCTTAAACAGGTTGTTGGCCTCTGGGCTGCAGCTTGCTAACCTCTGTTCTTTAAAACATTTGACTCACATCCTATGACTCTTCTGCTTAAAACTTCAGTGACTTCCCATTTTACTCAAAGTAAAAGCCAAAATCTTTACAAAGGCCTGTAAGAGCCAGGGTCAGTGGCTCACGCCTGCAATCCTAGCTATTTGGGAGGCAAAGATCAGGAGGATCATAGTTGGAAGTCAGCCCTGGCAAAAAGTTCATGAGACTATCTCAATCAAAGCTGGATGTGGTGGCATGTTGTCCAGTTATGTGGGAAGTATACATACAAGGATCGTGATCCAGGCTGGCCCAAGCTTAAACGTGAGACGCTATTTTAAAAATAACTAAAGCAAGCTGGGCATCAGTGGTTCACACCTGTAATCCTAGCTACTCAGGAGGCAGAGATCAGGAGGATCTTCTCATAACAACCACTGCTGTCATTTTGGTTCAGGCTCCCATACCCTCGTACCTTGATCATGATATTAAATCTCCCATTCCACCTCCTGAAACCAGCCTGGGCAAATAGTTCTCGAGCCCCTATCTCAAAAATAACCAACACACACACCCCTTCCTAGCAAGCATGAGACCCTAAGTACAAGCCCCAGTGCCGCCAAAATAATAACAATAATAACTAAAGCAAAAAGAACTAGGAGTGTGGCTCAAGTGGTAAAGCCCTTGCCTGGCAAGCATAAGGGCCTAAGTTCAAACCCCAATACTGTCAAAAGACCTACAAGGCCCTGAGTGAGCTCCCATTGCTCAGTGCACACACAGAGGCTCTGGAACCTCACCCTCGTTCTCTCGTTGTTCACTCTGCTAGAGCCACAGTGACCCCCTCATGGGTGCCAAACATTGCATTTGCTCTTTTCCTCTTCCTGAGCCCTTGCCCACATATAAACAGCATGCTCAATCACATCCTTCAGATCTCTGCTCAAAACCACCTCTACGTGCCAGGCATAGTGGCACATGCCTGTGATACCCCAGCCATCTGGGAGGTGTAGATAGGGGGACTATAGTTCTAGGCCAGCCTGGGCAAAAATGTTAGTAAACCCTATCTCAAAAAGCAAGTCAGGTATGGTGGTTTACATCTGTAATCCCAGGTACACAGGAGGCAGAGATAGGAGAATCACAGTCTAAATAAAGCATGCCAGGGCAAAAAAAAAAAAAAACTAAAAGCAAAAGGACTGGGGCCCTGACTCAATTGGTAGAGTGCTTGCCTAGCATGTGTAAGGCCATGGGTTCAATCCCCAGTACAGCCCCCCACCAAAAAAAATCCAAAGGAAAAAAAAAACCTCCAGGCACCTCTTTCTCTTTCCTGATTTAGTTTTTGCTATAGCACTGACTTTCTTCTAATATAATATGTCTTTAATAATTATCCATTTATTGCCAATCTTACTGCACTAGAATTCAGGCCCATGAGGGCAGAGTCTCTGTGCTGTTCTCTGCTGTACTTCCAGAATCTACAACATTCTTGCATATAGTAAGTGATTGAGAAATCTTTATAGAATGAAAGGATGAGAGGAATATAGGAATAAATAAAGATGAAGGGTTTCAGGGGAAAGAGAGCTCAGGAGAGCCAGCATGTGTGAAGAAGCTTCAAGGGGGACCTTGAATGCTAGAAGGTACAGGGCACAAAGAATGGGACACAGCGTGTGTGTGGGGTAAACTCGTAATGTCCACTAACAGCCTAAGTTCCCACAGTGAATGGGCGACCTGTCAAGATGCAAGTGCATCTTCAAGCAAGGCCTTATCCCCACGGCCACCTGGCTCTTCCTGAGCCTCTCCCATGTGAAATTCAGAAGCTCTCATGGCTAGACCCCATTGGGTTTTTAAAGCAGGAGAATGAGAAGATTGTATCAAGTAGTTAGGGAAATCATTCTGGCATCTGTGTGCCTGATGGGTTCAGAGCATGGCAGTGGCTAGGCGGTAAGAGGCCCATGGGGAGTTGAGTGCAGTGATTTGGGCGGATTGTGATGGAGACTGGGGGAGGGGGAGAGGTGCGCAGGTAAGTGCAGAGGAAAAGAGAGATTTTAGTTGACAGTGTGAAGGAGGAACTGACATAACTCAGATATCACAGTTGCCATAGATAAGGCAGTTGGAAGTTAGAAAGAATTTAAATGTTCATACACAAACAGTTAAAGACCACGGTGCAGTGGGACATGATGGCATAGCTTGGCATCTGTAGACATGGATGCTGTCTACAAATGAAATGAGGACGTAGTTCCAGTATGATTCCATTTTTATGAAGACGTGTGTTTGAGAGGTGTGATTAAATAAACATGGAAAAAACTCTGGAAAGATATATCTAGCAATGTGTTATAGTGGTTATTGAAGAGTGGTGGGATTGTGGATAATTTTATTGTTCTCTTATCTAATTTGTAAGTTTTATTTGTTTGTTTTGAGATGGGGTCTTGTATGTTGCCCAGATTGGTCACGAACTAATTTCTAATTTTTAATCCCGACACGAACTGCTTCAACTATAGAAGCATAGTAATAATATATGAAGCCTTCAGTTTCTCTAGGTTATCCTGCTGGATCATGTTGCCATTCTTGGAAGAGAGAGATTCCTAAATCCTTCCAAATCTCCTGGCAGAACCAGAAAGCTGATAATTTCTGCTAGGCTTCTACTCAGGACTGTGAAAGAACAGTAGCAAGAGAAAAAGCAGGAGGGAAGGAAGAAGGGGAAGGGGGAGTCACTAAGATCTCGAGCAAGAAGAACCCAAGAAGGAGGGAGAGAGGCTGGAGCCCCAACTGAGGCTGCAGCTCCCCAGAAGCAAGGTGCAGTTCAAGCCCAAGTGCGGAGAGCCTTATCACAGGTGGAGGAAGAGGCAATAGCTTACAGGTGGAGGGCTCCACGTGTTTTCCTAGGACCATCCCAGGTACTGGGCTTGGAAAGGAAGAGTGCTGCCCCGCACAGCCCGAGAGCAGCTGGTCACTTACAGGGCTCGTGGGTTCCAGGGTGGTCGCTGAACTCCAGCACGTAGAGCTGCCTTCCCTTCACACTGCGCCCGATGCTGTAGACACGCGTGATGTCTGGGCATTGGTTGTGCACCTTGTACAGCGTCCGGACAAGGTCATCATAGCGGTGGTGACGAAAGGTCACCGGGGCAACCAACTTGCAGAGAAGGAGGAGGCTCAGGAAGACTGAGAACAGGGCTGACATCTTACAGGGCTTCTTCAAAGGGAGCCACTTGAAACGCACCCCTCCTCTCCTAACCAGGCTCCTCGCCAGTCAGATCCAAGGGCCAAGAACCAGCTATGCCAGCTTCCCAGCAGGGGCCAGCACCTTAAGGAGTTTGGGACTGTCTCCTCCAATGCTGGAAATTTTTTATGTGGCTCTGAAAGGCCACTCAGCTGTCCCCGCTCATTTCCCTTCCTCCCTAATCCTGGAAAACCTTTTGAAAGGTTTTTGCTCATCTCCACAATGGTAGTCTCCCGGTTCTGGTTTACTGATTAACTGGACTGTAAACAGGCTTCAATAAAGAGCTGCATGGAACCCTTTGATTGCTGAAGGATTTTAGGAAACCTGGCTGTGCCTGTTTCCTTCCTAACAACTTACAAAAAGAGCTCTCTGTCCCCTTTGATAGTTCCACGTACTGCTGCCAGACTATCTTTCTGAAGCACGACTTTGTCTTGTACTTTTTTTTCTCTCAAAAATCGTTCGACAGACACTATTAAGAACATGAAAATATAGCTAATTACTGGAAGCACATATTTGTAAAGCACATATTTAATAATTATATAAGTAAGACATGAAGAATTTTTATAACATAATAATAGGAAGATAATCCAATTTAAAAACGGACAAAACACGATGGCTTTCTGCATAGGAGTCTTAATAGCCAGGAAATAATAACAAGAATTGACAAATGGGATTGCATCAAACTAAAAAGCTTCTGCACAGCAAAGGTAACAATTAACAAAGTAAAGAGACAGCCTACAGAATGGGAGAAATCTTTGCCACCTATTCATTTGACAGGGGATTAATATCCAGAATATGTAAAGAACTCAAAAAACTTACTAATAAAAGAACAAATAATCCAATCAGTAAATGGGTAAATGAATTGAATAGACACTTTTCAATTGAAAAATTCTAATGACCAATAAGTGTATGAAAAAATGCTCAACACCTTTTTTCATCAGGGAAATGCAAATCAAAACAGTCCTGAGATTCCATTTCACCCCAGTCAGAGGCTGTCATCAAGAAAATAAAACCAACAAATGCTGGCAAGGATGTGGGGAAAAGGAACACTTAAACCCTGTTGGTGGGAATGTAATTTGTGAACCTCTATGGAAATAAGTATGCAGGTTCCTCAAGAAACTACAACTAGAACTCCCATATGACCCAACTCCTCCACTTTTGCCATATTCCTAAAGGAATCAAAGTCAGCATGTAATAGAGGCACCTGCACACCCATGTTTATCACAGCACTCTTCACTACAGCCAAGCCACAGACTCAGCCTAGGTGCCCATCAATGGATGAATGAATAAAGAAAATGTGGTATATGTACATAGTTGAAATAGTATTCAGCCATAAAGAAAAATGAAATAAGGTCATTTGCAGGAAAATAGAATTGGAGATCATCATATTAAGTGAAAAAGCCATTCTCAGAAAGATATGTACCACATTTTTTCTCTTATATGTGAAATCTAAAAGAAAAAAAAGGACATGAAAGTAGAAGAGGGACTATTAGGGACAAGGGAGGGGGAGGGGTGAGAAGTGTGGGTCCTGGGGAAGAAATATGATCAAAATACCTGACATATATGTATGAAAATGTCATAATGAAACCCAATGTTTTGAAAAATTAATACACTCTAATAAAAATGGGCAAAAGATTTGAACAGACCTTTACCAAAGTAGATATACAAGTGGTTAATAAGCATATTTAAAGATGCATACATAATTGGTTATTAAAGAAATACAAATTAAGTTCAGGCACGATGGTGTCTGCCTGTAATTCCAGTTACTTGGGAGGCAAGGGCAGGAGGAGTGTGAGTCTGAGGCCAGCCTGAGAAAAGTTAGCAAGACCCTATCTCAAAAAACAAAATTCAAAAGACAAAAGGTGGGGGGATGGATAAGGATAGAACTCTTGCCTAGCATTTGCAAGGGGCCTGGGTTCAAAACCCACATGAGCTACATCACCTCCTCTATTGTGGCTATAATCAAAAAGACAAAAATAACCACTACTCATAATGGGGGGAAAGTAGAACCCTCGTACATTGCTGATGGAAATGTAAAACAGTGCAGATATTTTGGAAAACAGTTTGGCAGTCTCTTAAAAGATTAAATATGCACTGAGTGTATAAGCCAGCAATTTCACTTCCAGGTTTCTAACCAAAAGAAATGAGAGCATACATCCACACAAAAACTTGTACATGAACGTCCATAGCAGTATTATTCAGGACAGACAAAACTGAAGCAACCCAAATACCCATTTACTGCTGAATGTATAAACAAAACACAATGTGTGTGGGAGGTGCTAGTGGGAGGGAGGAGGGTGAAGGAAGGAGATTAAGGTGACGGTATATGGCAGATGGACTTCATATACCAATATGAATCAGAACTAAGAAGCCTCTTGCAATTGCTTTAAGTGGGGCAGGGAGGTGGTTGGGGGGAGAGATGATGGGGGCAATGTAATAATATACAATATAAGTCTAATCTGAATTGTCACTACAAATCCCCCCTGTGTAATGAATATATCCTAACAGAAATTTATTATAAAAAAACACAATGTATCCAAGCAATGGAATATTATTCGACAATAAAAAAGGAGCAAAGTACTGATACATTGTATGACATGGATGAATCTCAAACATACTATGTTCAGTGAAAGAAACCAGTCACAAAAGACCACATCTGTGTGATCCAATTTATATGAGCTGTTTAGAAAAGGTGACTCTATAGCTGGATGTAGACTAGAGGTTGCCCAGGGCTAGGAGTGGGAATGTGGAGCAACTATAAAAGGATACAGACTTCTTTTCAGTGATGAAAATTCTCTAAAATTAGATACATTGATAATGATGATTGAACAACTGCAAATGTACACTTAAAACAGGTGAATTTTATGGTATGAAAATTATATCTCAATAAGGCTGCTTTTTTAAAAATAGTTTCCTTATATTTTTAAAATTAGTATATATTAATAATATGAGAGAGTTTCATTGTGGTAATCCCATACAAGTTCACCTCCTCCATCGTATTTCCATTTCTCCCCCTCTCCTCCCCACCTTTTCAGTGTTTGGTGGGTTTCTTTTTTTTTTTCTTTATTCATATGTGCATACAATGTTTGGGTCATTTCTCTCCCCTGCCTCCACCCCCTCCCTTACCCTCCCTCCCCCTTCCCTCTCCCCCTCACCCCCTTGATACCCGGCAGAAACTATTTTGCCCTTATCTCTAATTTTGTTGAAGAGAGAGTATAAGCAATAATAGGAAGGAACAAGGGTTTTTGCTGGTTGAGATAAGGATAGCTATACAGGGAGTTGACTCACATTGATTTCCTGTGCATGTGTGTTACCTTCTAGGTTAATTCTTCTTGAACTAACCTTTCATCTAGTTCCTGGTCTCCTTCTCCTATTGGCCTCAGTTGCTTTAAAGTATCTGCTTTAGTTTCTCTGCGTTGAGGGCAACAATTGCTAGCTAATTTTTTAGGTGTCTTACCTATCCTCACCCCTTCCTTGTGTGCTCTTGCTTTTATCATGTGCACAAAGTCCAATCCCATTGTTGTGTTTGCCCTTGATCTAATGTCCACATATGAGGGAGAACACACGATTTTTGGTCTTTTGGGCCTGGCTAACCTCACTCAGAATGATGTTCTCCAATTTCATCCATTTACCAGCAAATGGTAACATTTCGTTCTTCTTCATGGCTGCATAAAATTCCATTGTGTATAAATACCACATTTTCTTAATCCATTCGTCAGTAGTGGAGCATCTTGGCTGTTTCCATAACTTGGCTATTGTGAATAGTGCCGCAATAAACATGGGTGTGCAGGTGACTCTGGAGTAACCTGTGTCACAGTCTTTTTTATTTTTTTGGGTTTCTTTTTTAAATTTTATTATTCATATGTGCATACAAGGCTTGGGTCATTTCTCCCCCCTGCCCCCACCCCCTCCCTTAACACCCACTCTGCCCCCTCCCTCTCCCTCCCACCCCCTCAATACCCAGCAGAAACTATTTTGCCCTTATTTCTAATTTTGTTGAAGAGAAAGTATAAGCAATAATAGGAAGGAACAAGGGTTTTTGCTGGTTGAGATAAGGATAGCTATACAGGGAGTTCACTCACATTGATTTCCTGTGCATGTGTGTTACCTTCTAGGTTAATTCTTTTTGATCTAACCTTTTCTCTAGTTCCTGGTCCCCTTTTCCTATTGGCCTCAGTTGCTTTTAAGGTATCTGCTTTAGTTTCTCTGCATTAAGGGCAACAAATGCTAGCTAGTTTTTTAGGTGTCTTACCTATCCTCACCCCTCCTTGTGTGCTCTCGCTTTTATCATGTGCTCAAAGTCCAATCCCATTGTTGTGTTTGCCCTTGATCTAATGTCCACATATAAGGGAGAACATATGATTTTTGGTCTTTTGGACCAGGCTAACCTCACTCAGAATGATGTTCTCCAATTCCATCCATTTACCAGCGAATGATAACATTTCGTTCTTCTTCATGGCTGCATAAAATTCCATTGTGTATAAATACCACATTTTCTTAATCCATTGGTCAGTGGTGGGGCATCTTGGCTGTTTCCATAACTTGGCTATTGTGAATAGTGCTGCAATAAACATGGGTGTGCAGGTGCCTCTGGAGTAACCTGTGTCACAGTCTTTTGGGTATATCCCCAGGAGTGGGATTGCTGGATCATATGGTAGATCAATGTTTAGCTTTTTAAGAAACTTCCAATTTTTTTTTCCAGAGTGGTTGTACTAATTTACATTCCCACCAGCAGTGTAAGAGGGTTCCTTCCCCTCCCCCCCCCACAGCCCCCCCCCTCCACATCCTCGCCAACACCTGTTGTTGGTGGTGTTGCTAATGATGGCTATTCTAACAGGAGTAAGGCGGAATCTTAGTGTGGTTTTAATTTGCATTTCCTTTATTGCTAGAGATGGTGAGCATTTTAAGGCTGCTTTTAATCTGGGCATGATGGTTCATGCCTGTAATCCCACTCCCCCAGG